ATAGGAAGAGAGATAAAATTTTTTTGAGAAATCTCAGGGGCCCTCTGAAAATCCTTAGAGAAATTCTCCTCCTTCTTCCAGGTTAAAAGAAAGCCTTTATTCAGGACTTGAATATTTTGGGGGGACAGGGCTTGTCAAAAATATCAAAAGGTTTTAAAACACTTGTTCAAATAGGAAACAATGCTCACTGTGAAACAATGCTTAGGTATCTATTCAAAGTGACAACAGAAACAGTCAAGGGCAGTTACAACAGTCAAAAAATCCTAAGAGAGAGATCTCTTTCTTTCCGAACATAGGAAATTATTTTAGCAAAACATAGGTTTTTAGTCTTTTAGGTAGACTTAGAGCAGGCCAAAAGTTCAAGAAAATTATCCTTTGAGAGAAAACCAAATTTTAATTTTTGCACCAGCTCATTTTTTTTTCCATTAAAACTCATTTACTTAATTGGATTTACTTTAATCTTAGCCAACTTGACTAGGTACAAAACTTCTTTCAGAATTTCTCTTTCACAAATCTTCTATAACTTTCTTTTTACATTCAGAATTTGTCCCATGCTTCCTTTTTTTTTCTTCTAATACTTATGACAAATTTATCTTTCTTGACCAACAAAAATACTTCCATTATTTATACCTTCTTTACCAAAAACATACATTTTATTTTCCTTGAATACAAAGATGTTTGCCTTATTAATTTCCAGTAGCTTTAATTACATATATTAATTAGAATTTTTAACCCTTACAGACCCTAGTAAAAACCAAAAAGGTAAGCAATTACGAACTGTCTTTTATACCAGCATTCTAAACATTTTTCATACTTTCTAGAAACACACCACTTCATGGTAATAAAACACAAAGCATGTTTACTAATAGACCCAAACACATTTAACCTTTCTGCAATAAGAAGCTAAAAGTAGATAAACTTACATTTAATAATTAATGTCTAATAGCTTATCTTATTTGGAAATGATCTAGGTACTCAACGAATTTTATCATTTAAATTAACCCAGCAAAACTTCAAAGTTTCAAGTTACCAAAGAGATTTTGGAAGTTATTTTAAATACACATACCATAAACGATCATTATTGCTAAAACTTTATCTATAAATTCTTATTTCATTTATATCTAAATCATTTGTTCCCAACAATTATGTTTAGATTACCCAAGGAAACTTCATGAGACATTAGACAAAATTAGTTATCATTTAAAGCTATTATTTTGCTGGTGAATTTGTAACAGACAACATGAGCTTATTTGACTAGTAAACCCAGGCTGTGTGTCTGCATCATATCCAATGCTGATAACTCTAAGGACATGTCTATTTTAATGAAACCAACAAACCTAAACAAGTTTTCATTCACCAAAGATTGTTTCATATCACGTTAACTTGAACGACATAAGAGCTTACTTTAAGTCAATTAAACAGAGCTCTTGATTTTGGCCATACCATCCGGGGGTAGAATATCACATATATAACATACATATGGACACACGTGAACACACAGATAGACTGACAGAGAGGTTAAATGTTTGTTATGAATCAGGTGCAGCATAGAACACGCTAGTTTCTGAGAAACACTTGCTTTTCGAAGAATGGCTCTCAGGTCCTAGAGAAGATGGGAGCAGAAAATTTACATCATAAAGGCAGAGAAATAAGTCAAGTTTTCTTCAAGGTGGAGTTTCAGGGACATATTTGCCTTACCTGTTTCTAATGTCTCAATCTTTTGTCTCAATATCTAGGAGTATTTTGGGAGGAACAGGGGAGGCTTTGGGATTGGCGGAAAGACAAGTGAACTTTGAACTGCCCTCCAGAGCCACACCTCAGGCCTTGCAGAGATTTTCAAGACAAAGATGGGTGCTTCCAATTCCCCAAAGAACTGGATTACAACCTGAATGACAAAAAAAGAGGCTGACTCGCCCCTCCAGCTGCTCCCTTCCAATTGCTTCTTTATACCAGGGAAGTTTTTAACTTAAGAGGTGAATCAAAGATTTATATGTTCTAAAACTTTCAGGACAATGTATCACACCTTTAAAAGCCTTACAATCAGGCAGGGAAACATTCCCCAGTGAGACAATGTCTATTGGCACGATATAATCAGACAAAAAGAGATACAATCACTTTACATAAAGCCCATAAATATATCAATTTTCTACAAATTTTATCTGAGTTCCATCAACTCTTATACCTCTAATGATAGCTTCCATTAGGATTTTATCAATAGGTCTTGGCTTTATAATATTGGATAGAGGAAGTATTCCCAGCCAGACATTTTAAAACATACTCAGGCAAAGTTGATATAACCTCTTTATAGGAAATCAGCTCAAATATTCCAACCTTTATAATCTTATTAACACTTACACTTTTATATTTGCTCAATTCAATTGTAATCTGAGTCAGCGTCTTAAGGCTAGTCTTTTTTTTTTTGTATTTCCTTTTTAATTTGGCCTTTTCATAGGTACCAATAAAAAGTTATGATGAGTGCTCTCACAAACTTTTTCCCCCCAATTTAGAAGTTTTCCCAATTTAAATGATCCATTGTCTGGTCACATTGATGAGTAGAATCTTAATAGGGACTCATACCAATAAGCTTAACCATGGATGCAAGAGGCGTCCCCAAAAGAAATCCAGAAAGTTCACTCTCAAAAATAGTCTAAGAAAGTAAAGACCTTCATCGCACAGCAAGCGATGAAGGTTGAGATGACAAAGACCCCTTATGAAAGCAATTGGGACCCCTTATGACAAAATCCCCTGAGAGCTGACACATCCAGATGAAGAGAGTGTGTCCTGGGACTCCAGTCTACTCAACTGGCCACCAAGATGCGTGCCAGTACATGTATCCTCTGGATGGCGGAGACCAGAAAGGTCACAAAGCCAAGCTCTCAAGACGTAGAACAAGATGAAAGAAAAACCTCATCTAATACGCACATTAACAGCTTTAGCTAAGCCTCGGGTTTCTTGGAGCCAGAATAATACCTAAGAGGGAGGTGCCATGGGGTTGGGGGTCGTGTGTGCTTTACAGAGTGCCTTCTCATTGCATGGACATTTTCTTGAAGTTGGTGGGGGAACTGTGTCATCCACCGCATTCCATGACCAACTCATCCTTTCACAGGAGACTTCTTGAGGTGGTGAGCACCCTAACGGCTCTTAACTGCTCGACCCACGCCCACCAAATTTGCAGGCTTTTTGGCTTCCAAGATGCCCTTAGCAACAGCTTCCACCTATGCACATATTCCCAGACAACAGGCTTATACAGATGCCTGTGTCTTATGACAAACAACCAAAAAAGACAGAGACAAGGAAAAATATCTCTGGGAGGAAAAGGATCTACAACCAATGAGTACTCAACCAAATCCTAGAGTCACTGAGTCCAAGAAGCTAGCCTCACCAAAATTTTCTCCTGCTAATCTAAGTTAAGAAAAGCAAAAAAACTCACCACTCTTGCTTTCATTGGACCATGCAGGCAGAGATACGGGAGACTGACATGGTAAGAACTCTTACCTCTTGCCAGCTCTTGTCAGGGGTCCAGGATCTCTCGACTGCAGCAGTCCAGGAGTGAGCAGTGTGCAGCCAGTTAAATTTTATCCTGTCCAAGTCTCCAAACTGTAGGGGAGTAAGACATTTCCTCTACCCACTCTGGGTCCTTCTGGTCAGACAATGAACTAAATTCAGATGAAACAGAATAACAGGAGAAAATTAAACAAAGCTTTATAACATGTACACATGGGAGAGACCCAGAAAAACCAAGTAACTCACCAAAATGGCAGAGGTTCTCATCTTAAATACCCTTTTCAGCTAAAGGCAAAGGAGGATGTCGGGGGTGGGAGGATACAGTGGTGGGAGATCACCAGAAAAGCACAGCAAACAAGAGTAAGGTTATTATACAAATTTAAGTCCTTGCCTTCTGCATTGATAAGAGTCTCTAGAGATAAGGTCCTCCCCATTCTTCCTGGTACAGAGAGGGGAACACCTTTACAGATGGAGATTTCCTTTACAAATGTAAATGTCTCTTACAAAGGTAACTTCTGCTTTTCAGAGTTTCTCTCATGTCTGCAGTTTTTAAAAGTAACCAGCCCAAAATAATCCTCATGCCAAAGAGACATATCTTCAGGTGGCCAATTCCAATCCCCTGCAGTGGACATGCTGGATTTTGAAACTTGTATTTCAGTTTCACCTATATTTGGACTTTCTAGTCACCTCTACTTTTAAAAATTTCAAATAATGCTTTTAGTTTGAAGGAATAATACATCATATTTGAGACTGTAGTTAGTGGCTTGCTTATATACAGTCATATTATCGCACTGTTTTAGGAGTAAATAAAAGAACTGTAACAGTTCAATAGATAATTTTCCTTTTTCTGGAACGTCCCACTATTCAGTGCAGTATGGATGAAAAGTAAGCATTTAGTCTAACGAGAAACTACTTTTCACTACCATACATAGCACTTTCCCCATCAGTAAAATTCATTCAGTAGTACAAATATATACTGAGCCCTTACGATGTGCCAGAAGCAGTTTAAGTCTCTAGAACTGCAATGCACCTCGAATATCTTATTTATAAAGACCTATTTTCATTAGAAAGCCCTATTTAATAGTAACTCTTCTATTTAAGAGTAACTTCTGCTTAATAATAACTCTTCTTCGGCTGTTAATCTCAAAACAGGTATTTTTAATCAGCTGTACATGTTCACCACTTACAAAATATTACATTATCTATTGGATGTAGAAATGCTTTTCCACTTTCGCAAGTCAGAAAAAATTTTAAAAATAAAAAAAATAGTAATTTTAAAGAAAATGTCTGTTTTGCTTCTCGTATTTCATGCAACAAGCACAATATGATTTAGAATGATGCTTGTAATAATTACATGGGACTCCTCCTGAAACTTTTGAAACTTAACTTTGTTTTAATAGCAGTCTAGTGACTTCTGAGGAAATCCCTCTAGGGGAAGTAACGGGTGGTACCAAGACAGCCCATTTACGAATGAGGAAGTGGTGGTTACTTAACCTAGACTCAGGTTCAAGTCAGAAAGTCAAGGCAGAATCGTCTGAGTCAGAGCCTGTTGTTAAAGCTCTAAAAAGGTAATGATTTCTTTTCCAGCATGTTTTTCAGATTATTGATTGATCCCAAGATCATGTAATAATTTTTGTAGTTTCTCTTTTGCTTTGTGTCAGTAGCAATTGCTACTTGTCACCAGCATTGAGAAGGGATCAAGAGGTTAGAGAAGCAGCACGTGGATGTGTTAAGTGACCTGCAGGAATACTAATGATATAATTGTGTGTGTGTGCGCGTGTGTGTGTGCATGCGCGCATATGTATGCGTTGACTAATCAACATTCTAACAGGAAGCTAAAGAACTCACAATAAATCATATTAAACAGTTACAAGATATTAGACAGCTGCTTGAATTTTTATCCAAGACTTTTTTGAATTATATTTTTTAAGTCTTTTTAACAATTGAAGCTTTCTGCCTTTCTCAGTCACCCAAGGTAAAGTAATACCAGATTTTAACATTCATATTAAATACCACCTTTAGGGAGAACTTTTTCAATTGATAACCTTTGTATCTACACTCCCCTGGAAATTTCTTTTGTTTTTCTCAGTGTGTTCAAATTCCTGGCTGGAGATCTAAGAAGAGAGGAAGGAGCACATTCAGAACTGGGGGTCACAGCAGAAACTTTAAGCCAAAAGGAGCCCTAGTGTGCGGAATGGCACTTGCAGGAAGCAGCTGGTAATAATAAGGCATTTCACAAATTCAGTTGTCTTCCCTAAGTTTGCCAATATTCATTCTGTCAGAATTCAAGCACTGGGCTTTTAGAATATGCTTCAGAAATATATGGTCCCTGCACTAAAGAAAGGGCATTCGATGCCTCTGGGGGGCTTGGAAAAAGGGCTGTAAAGAGAAGCTTGGGTTGCCACGATCTTTGGGGCCTCACTTTCTGGAATCACCCATGTTACCTCTTTTTGGCCTCCCTAATACAACATGCACTTGCCTTTTTTGGGGGGGGGGGGGGAAGATTAGCCCTGAGCTAACTACTGCCAGTCCTCCTCTTTTTGCTGAGGAAGCCTGGCCCTGAGCTAACATCCATGCCCATCTTCCTCTACTTTATATGTGGGACACCTACCACAGCATGGCGTGCCAAGCAGTGCCATGTCCGCACCCAGGATCCGAACCGGTGAACCCTGGGCTGCCGAGAATGTGCGAACTTAACTGCTGCACTACCAGGCCAGCCCCTGCACTTCATTTTAAGAGATCTCTTAAATGATGTTGTCCAATGACCTGCAAATCCCAAGTTAGGTTTATGCATGGACCTCCCTGGCCTCATGACCACACCTATTCCAACTTGGGTTCTATAGACTTGCTCAGTCTCTCTCTGTCCTTGATTATGGATAGAGCAATATCTTAACTCTAGTGACAGATATAAAGGTGGCTTGGTGACCCGTGAGTTAATCTGACTACACAGTCACTCAAGAGCACCACTCAGTCATCTTTTCTGATCCTTTGGAGCCAACCTCAATAGGCCGAAGCTCTGTAGTTCAATAAGATGTTTAAAAACAGAAGCTCCTGAGCACCTCAGGGGTCTGACTCCTGATGTTACCACTGCCACCCGGAGTCAGGAGCTCCATCAGATGCTCAGAGTGCAGCCCAGGGCCCCTGCAAATGAGAGGCAGAAGATATCAATTTCCCATGTTCAGAGCCTTCTAAAACTGCACTTTGAGTGTTGCTTCCCCCCTAGGCATTAGGATCATTTATCCTTTGTTATCAGTGCTGTTCTCTGACCTGGAGCTTGGAGGCCTGGCTATTGTAAACCCACAGAAGAAAACTCAGAACTTACGCAGAATTATTGATTGTTTTCTCCACCCAGAAGAAATCGTTTTTCCTGGAAAGTCAGCCATATGGTGCCACAGAGGTGGAAGGTAAGAAAGAAGTTAGCCAAACAAGAATATGACTTTTCTTTTATGTATGTAGCACTTTCACTTGCCTCATGCGTAAAAGTCATTCAGTTCAACAAATACTTATTGAACCCTTACTATGTGACACACAGTTCTAAGTACTAGATGTTATCAGTGAACAAAACAGGCAAACTACTTCACGTCATCCAGCTTCTGGTTCCTTCCCAGGGCCATTGTAGTAATTGAGACATGTAATATATTTGGCATAGTGCCTGGCATATTAAAAACTACATAAGATGCAGATTATGTTTAATAGAATATAGGAAAAATGGCTGTGTTCCAGGTAGAGCTTAATTTAATCATCATTTATCATTGCTATGATGAGTATTGTAAAAATGAAGGATTTAAATAGATACTTTCTAAGTCAAAACATGACAAAATATATCCTTAAAGTCAGTGGTAAGATGACATTAATCTAACGGTTGATATTCTGATTTTCACAGCAATATTCTAGTGTGAGTATTAACCTAATCCTAGCATAATTTATAAAATTTAAATATTAGTTCTTTTTCCATTTTTGAATAATGCTGAAATCTCATCCCAAGTGTATATTCTCTTTCCTGAGAGAAGACACACATTTGATGAAAAGGATTTTGTGAAATATTTTAAGATGCTTTAAAAAAGAGAAATTTAGCAATGCAATTTTCTGTTATTAAAAAATGCCTCAATCTTTCCAGTATTTCTTCCATTTTTTCTGCAAATGCGACTCACTTGAAAATCAGCTTTTCGATTGCTTTTTGATCTTTAGAATTTGAAGATATCTGACGACTTGCAAGACTGTAGAGTTCCCTTTTTAAAAGTTTGACACTTTTAATAACGATCGCCTTATTTTGTACTAAAATCCTCAATAGTGTATTAAAAATATTATTCTTTATTATGTAAGTAAGCCCTGAGTGGAACTACAAAGACCAGAAAGTGAATCATTGTTGGAAGAGTCTTGACATTCTTACCAAACAAGAAGAAAAGAAGAAGCCTGATAGAACTTAATTTTTTCCTGTTGGTTAGAATATTACAACAGAGATAGTAAGTGACAATCCACATTAAATTTTAAAATCTATTATAATATTAAGCATCAAAGAAAGGAGTTGTTCATCAGATACCTTTTGTCTTTATGAAATTAGCACTGGTACTGTTTGGCAGTGATGGGAAATTTCCTTAAAATATCCTCCTTTTGAATGGCTGTTCCTATCCATTAAGACGCAACCTGAAAGAGAAAACTGACCCTAAGAATTACGACCTTCTGTGCCTATGTGCTGTTCCTTTTGAGTTCCAAGATATACTTTTCTCAAAGATATCATTTTTCTCTCCATAAGTTTAGATTTGTTTTAAAATATCTCAACTTGTTATAAACAATCCAAGATGACTCTGAGATTTGTGTTAAGGGCAGTGTCCGGAATTTTGGTGCCCAGGTTTTTAGACCTAGCCAATGCTAGATGCTTTTGTTTGTTTGTCAGAATCATTGCAAACCCACAGAACGTTCTCAGACCATCCGTGAACCCTATGATGATTCAAAGTACATAAATGTGACACATATTTAGGACGAAACAGTTCCATTCTTTCTATTTATATCCAAACCCATTTTACGAAGATGGTTTTGTGGTACGTTACAACGTCTCATTAACTTCACTCCACAGATAGAGAAAAGGAGGAAGGAATTGTCTGTGTGTTTTTTACTGTCTTTGGGTTGATGTAATGGTTTGCAATTTGTCTCACAGAATCCTATAGCAATTTAAAATGGAGTGTAGTCTCTCAGACTCTGTGAACAAGTACAAGCTGTGGTTAATGAAACTTCCTTCAAGGTAATTTGGGTTACCTAGCAAACTTCTTCAGGGAAGCTCAAAAAAGGTGCCATTTTGGGGCTGGTCCCGTGGCCAAGTGGTTAAGTTGGCGCACTCCACTGCAGGCGGCCCAGTGTTTTGTTGGTTGGAATCCTGGGCGCGGACATGGCACTGCTCATCAAACCACGCTGAGGCAGCGTCCCACATGCCACAACTAGAAGGATCCACAACGAAGAATATATAACTATGCACCAGGGGGCTTTGGGGAGAAAAAGGAAAAAATAAAATCTTTAAAAAAAAAGAAAGTGCCATTTTGGAAAGAGACAGTATTATATCTAAGACTGCAATGCTTTCTCCATGTCCCATAGTGGGGGCTCTGATCGTCATGAGGGCAGGAGGGGTCACTGAGCAGGTCTTTGCAGAGGCCTTCCTAGTCACACTATCACGTCATGCTACTTCTGTTCTCTGCGTAGCTCTTATTAATGCTGATATTTTTATTATTTAATTAATTTCTTTGTTTACTTATTGTCAGCTTCCCTTTATTGGAATGTGAAAGGTGGCTGAGGAGGTGACATTTAGACAGAGATTTGTGTGATAAGAAAGAGTCCAAGAAATCTCAGGGTAAAGCATTGCAGCCAGAGTGAGAATAGCTCATTCCAGAACCCTAGATGGAGAATGAGTTTGGCATGTTTGAGGAAAAGAAAAGACAGGGTATCTAGAGCACAGCAGGTGGAATTATGTGGAAAGATCTTGGGGAGTCAGAGAAAGGCCTGGTCACATGGAGCTTGGTTGTATTATATTCTAAGATAACAGCCGTGGGGGGCTTCCAGCTGGAGTGACACGATCTGTCCTAAAGTATCTGGCTTTGGCCCCTGTGCCAACAACAAACTGAGCGAGGTGGGGCAGGAGTGGAAGCAGAAAGACAGTCAGGAAGGCACTGGAATATCCCAGATGAGAAGTATCATTGGGTTGAACCAGGAAGGAAGTGGTGGAGATGGAGAGAAGTGGTTGGATTCGGGATATATTTTGGAGGTAGAGTCACTGAGACGTACAGGTGGAGTAGAGATGAGAGCTGAGGGACAGGGAGCACTCCATCTCCATTCCCCCGACTCTCCACGAGCGCTCTGTTTTTCTTGTATTTGTTTTTTTGTATTGAAGTAAAACCTACATTCGGTAAGTAAGCAAATAGTAAATGCCAAGTTTGTAGACATTTTGTATACGTATATACTTGTTTAACCAAATCAGGACATAGATACTTAACCACACCCCAGAAAGCTCCCTGGAGCCCCCTCCCAGATACATCATCTGTGCTCCAGTTTGGTGTCTCAGCTGTGGGGGATGTGATTCAGATGTCTGGTAGAACCTTTTGGCAAATTCAAGCCTAAAGATGCATGTAAGAAACACTTTCTGTAACTCTGGAAATTTACCAAACCTGCTCTGACAAGCAGATCCTACGCCTAGCAGCAAGATTGGGCTATTGTTAAACACTTCTAATAGGTGGGTATGTAATACACATACAAATACCTTCCATGTGATAAAGAACACGAGATTTAAAATAATCAATTCAGTGCTCTCAGAAATGTTAAGGAGGGAACTAAATTGGTTCTAAAGCAATTTGATTATTTTTTTAAAAAATCAGTGGTAGGCAGCCTTGCTTTACGGTAAAGGGAATCAGAATACGAAATGGAGGACCTGGATTCAAGTTCCAGTTCTTCTGTTAACGAGATGTGGGACTTTGGAGAAATTACTTAAATTCTCTGAAATGCGATTTCCTTATCTTCAAAGTGGATAGGACTGGAAAGGCTGCGAGGAGAGAGTGAGACAGGACGTGGAAAAGATCTCTGAAAGCCTGTGTGCCTCAATAATAAGGTGGCCAAAACCTAATTTCAGAGACAAGGAAAAGGTGCATCTAGGTGCGGTGAATGGCAGCCATGTTTCATCACTGTTTTCTCTTGCTCATCAGGCACCACACCCCTCTAAGGAATGCTCCACTTCTGACCGACTCCTTTCACATCGGCAACTGTTGCCACGGTTCTTGTCTGAGACCCCAGAGAGCTGTTCTGAATTGTCTCTTGGATTCATCCGGGCACCCTTCCCTTACTGTTGGCTTCTAGTAGTCATGGAAATTACAAGTTGTCCTGTTTAGTGTGGCAGCTGGTAAGCAAATAGCACCCTCCGTTTTATGTCATAGTTCTTGGTATTTGGGAATTACCAAATTTGAAAATTCAATAGCATCATTCTCTGCATTGTCTTCACACAAACCACTGGGGAAAGGTCCAGGAAGCCACTGACACCACATTAGACACCTCTGAGCGATTTGGTACAAAAGCAGCTGGAGTCTTGCTATCTCAGCTGCTGCCTATAGTAAAAGAGTAATTAGAATTTCTTCCTTAGAGAACAAAAATTTCAGTTAAGTATACATTTCTTTTAAGTATGTATGGAAAATAGGCTAATAGAAAATTATGCCAGAGGAGTAAAACGTGTTATGCCAAGTATTAATTATATATGTATTAACTAGTACATAAGATAATTCTAAGTTTAGAAAGGAGATCAAGGTTAATTTTATTACCAAGTGCCCTTGGCCCTACTCATTTAATAGTAGAAGATACATAATCTATCAAAGTAAAAAAAAAATGGTTAAAGCACTTTAAAATCACTTTAACAAGGTCAGAAATGAAGTTTTCAGATATTCTTTCCAGGATAAGTACAATGTCATGAATTTAATAGCAACTAAAAATAAATTTAGACTTTTGACACTTTTTTTTTCTGAGGGAACACAGAACCTTGAAAATACCTTGGGGGAAATTGCTAACCTCTCTGGAAATTAATGAGTTCTTACATTATCCCTAAAGGGTTATGGGATATTTTCTAATTCTGCATTGCAGATGGGAAACCAAAGAGTTTGGCCATGGGTTCTATTTTCAGGGGCAGACTGAAAAGGACTCTTACAATGCTCTTCTCTTTTCAGTTTGTCCATCATTTGGTCTTGTCTTTTTTCTAAGACAGAGTGGGCAGATAATATTTGTTCTTTGTTTAGGAGTCTTATTTCAAAGAGATCTCTTATTTCACTGAAATTCCTGGGCATACTCTCTGGAATATTTAGAGCTAAATGAAAAGCTTAGTTTCTAGTGTGTAATATTGTACTTTATTTTCCAATTATTTGATGCCCAACCTGCAGGATTATACATCCCCATATGTGGTCATATGACACAGTGACACCAGTCTGGACCATGTGACTACTTGCCCAGTGGAATGTACACAGAAGTAGAGTATACTGTAACCAAGCAGAAGCTTTGAGAACCCTAGTGTCCTTCAGCCATTTCTCCCTCCCTCTGCAATGCCAAAGTCACACCCCCACAGGAACTGCTCCTTTCAGCCTGGCTCCTGGAATGAGAAGATAGATAGAGAGGAGCTGCAGCTGATCCACAGATGACTCGTAACACGAACAAGAAATAAATCTTTATTAGTGTAAGTCATTGAGATTTTGCCTTTGTTTGTTCTTGCAAATAACCTAGCAAAATTTGATAATACGCAGTCCTCACTACACTGTGATAGATTTAAAATAAATGACTATTTTAGTTCTAATGTGTAGAAGCAGATATGACTTGGAAATTTACATAAAAGCTTGATCTTTGCATTGGGTTCATTGTCATTGAGTTTTCACCATTTAAATCACAGCCTTGTCCAGGTACTTGGATAAAAGAAATATGTGCCCCTTGGGGCTGGCCCGGTGGCACAGCGGTCAAGTTCACACGTTCCACTTCTCGGTGGCCCAGGGTTCGCTGGTTCGGATCCCGGGTGTGGACATGGCACTGCTTGGCACGCCATGCTGTGGTAGGCATCACACATATAAAGTAGAGGAAGATGGGCACGGATGTTAGCTCAGGGCCAGTCTTCATCAGCAAAAGGAGGAGGACTGGCAGTAGTTAGCTCAGGGCTAATCTTCCTCAAAAAAAAAAAAAAGAAATATGTGTCCCTTATAAAAGAGACGAAGGTTAAGCTTCAGTGTAGCACTCAACTGTAAAAAGGCAGATGAAAGCTCAGCAGACTCTTCACATTTATGGATTGAAAATTGCCCGTGTACAACGATTGTTAAATTGGTGACTCATGGAGATTTGTGATTTTGCTGAGGTGTTGGTTTGAATGGTGTTCTTAGTGAAGCTGGAGTGAGTCAGCCGCCATGGGAGGCCTAGTCCAACTCTCCTCACAGCATAGTCTCTGGACCAGTGGTGTCAGAATCACTCGGGACCTTGTTAGAAATGCAAATTCTCAGGTTTCCCCCCAAACAGACTGAATCTGAAACTCTTGGGTTGAGGCCCAGCCATCTGTTTTAAACAACCTTCCAGATGATTCTGGTGCTTGCTAAAATTTGAGAACCACTCGCCTTGTCTTTTTCCCTGAAGGGCTTTGCTCCTCTCTCTACCACATCGTGGGACAGGACCTAGAAATCAGCATTTTAAAAGCTTCCTTGTGATTCCTGATGTGGCTCACTTTCACTGGCTTGCATTTTAAGAGATAATATAATAGTGTTATTTAGAACATAATTTCACAGTCTAAAAGTGCACATGCAGAAAGAGTTTGGTATACGGCACATGTCAACAATTTAAGGTAATAAACTGATGTTCAAATACTTGTTATCATAATGAGTATCGGCTTTTATAAAACAGCAAAGCACAAATATGGTCCCAGAGTGTCTCCAACATCCCCAACAAGGAGGTAGGCTGCTGTAAAGAGCACAGATTGTGAAGCTCCAGGCCCTGCTTTCCTCAGCCTCTCGTTCTACTGCCGGCTCCTCCCGTGGTGCTCGCGGCCCTGAGGAGGGGGTCCCACTGAGACAGGAAATGAGGAACCCGAAGTTTGGAAAATAGCTCCCCAGGGGTAGATGCCTTAATTTAAAACATTAAGGCAGAAATCAAGTCAAGTTGGGAAAGGTAGCTCTGTTTGGGGTGTGGGTCAGGATGCAGAGGGATCTGAATTGGAGGCAAAAAAACAAAAACAGTAAGAAAGAAAAACAAAAGAAAAGAAGGAAGGAAGAAGGGAAAGAGGGAAGGAAGGAAGAAGGAAGAAAGAAGGAGGCAAGGAGGGCAAGAAGGAAGGAAAGAGGAAGAAAGAAGGAAGGAAGGAAGATGGAAAGAAGGAGGAAGGAATGAGGGAGGGAAGGAAACAAAGAAGGAGAGAAGGAGGAAGGAAGCAAACAGGGAAGGAAGGAATGAAACAAGGAAGGAAATGAGCTGTCAATCACAATCTGTTTTAAGGGCTAACTTCCCATTTGTTGTGCCAACATTATGCTCGTATTAATTAGCACCCGAAGACTGGATGTGTTGCTGGTCTTAACGCACAGAAATATCTCCTGTCATTAGAATGTAAAGGCCACTGGAGCAGGACCCTTGTCCGTCTTGTCAACACTTCACTCCAACCGCTGATCAGTCAGTGAGCCCAGAGGCAGCTTTCCTGTGAAGCTGAGCCTCAGGCTTCCTCCCTCGCACAGGGCACTTTCAGAACACATAATTTTATTTTTGTAATTCTGTATTATTTTTATTAAAGAGGACCCTGAGAATTGTATAAACTTCAGATCTCCTCAAATATGGATCCACCTCTGGTTAGGAGGCAATAAATTGAGGTGAAATACACTTGGACAAAGGTGCTAGCAGGAACATGGAAAGGGAAAAGATTAAATCAATGTTAGAAGGAAATCTGCTGTACCTGGTGATTGAATGGATTGCAGAAGGAGGAGAAAAAGGAAATAAAACGTGAACAATCCTATTTCTTTCTTTGATGGTATTCCTAAGTTCAAAGAACAATCATCTATAACAGACTAGGTATCTGGATATCAGCTAATATATAAAAGTCATCTCAATGATAGATTTCTTGCCAAAGTGAAGAAATAGCTAAACTCTACTATAATTAGGTAGATTACAAACTGGTGAAGTGACTGTACCAAATGACACTGATTGAAGGTTTAACATAAATCTAGAAGTTTCTAGGGGTGCATCAAATGCCCAACTCTTTATATCTCTTCTTTTCAACATGTTTGTCAATAATTTGGACCAAATTATAATCGTATACTCAATACACTGACATATGGGACATGATTTTGAGAAGACGAGAAGATTAAACTAAAAACTGAAAAGAAGGCAGAATTAGATTCTAAATCGTTTTAATTAGGATACACAACTTGGCAGCAACGTTGTTAGAACTGACTGAGTTCACTTTGTGTCAAGTTTATGATGTCTACCCACAAAGGCTAATGTTATCCTAGACCACATTAATAGAAATGGTTTCTAGACTCTAGAATGAAGGACACAGCAGCCTCGTTTGGCTCCACAATGTTCACTGCTGTCTTCAAAGAGTGGGCTGTTGATATGTTCTATCCGTTAAGACGGTTCCATTTAAACCCCAAAGGATAAAATGAGGATGAACAGCAGGTTTGATTTTTATCACAATTTTTTTTTAGGGGGTGAGGAAAATTGGCCCTGAGCTAACATCTGTGCCAATTTTCTTCTATTTTGTATGTGAGACACCACCACAGCATGGCTTGATGAGTAATGGGTAGGTCGGTGCCTGGGATCCAAACCTGCAAGCCCTGGGCTGCCAAAGTGGAGTGCACAGACTTAACCATTATGCCACAGGGCTGGCCCCTTATTGCAATTTTCTAAGAAAGATAGAAAGATAGAAGCAAAGTAGTGAGTTGCCTGTTGCATGTGTTCAATCAAGGCTGGAAGACAACCACTTAGTAATCATTTTTAGGGGAGATAGCATTAGATAGTTGGTTATTTCATGTAATTTAAGTTAATTTTTTAAACTCAGAGTTTTCAGGATTCTATTACTCTATGACTGTGATATTTTTTATTTAAATTCCAGATTGTTGTTCCCACTGTTTCTAAGTTGTCCTTTTAACTACTAATCGAACTGGTAGCAATCCACAGCATGTTCCTTTCTGTGTTCTCAGTTTCATGTGAAGGATCCAAAAGATCAATTCTTACTGAAAACTCATCTACTGTTTATTCTTCTGTTCAAGCAGAATTCAATTTGTTTACCTATAGTAAAGCTTAATGAAGTGTAGTTTCTGGCATGATTAAAAGGGTTAAATAAGTTATCTTCACAAAGTAAAGACAATGTGTAGATTTCCATGGCGAATGGCTGAGGCTTATAAACTCTAACCTCATCATTCCAGATTTTTCAGCTGAAGTTTTCTTGAAAAGGACTGTGTAGTCATACTCGCCCAAGTTCTCAACCAAGTGACTATTCCATTAGGATTAATAAATAATGTCAACTATCTTTTGCCCAAAGTTATGCTAGAAAATATTCTTTTGAGGATTATTTTTCTATTTGATACATATGCCAAATTTTCACAGTAAAAATATTTGGGGTCTTGTCTTATTTGGACTAGTAGCACTTAGTTTATTTTCTTAAAGGTGAATGAATAAAAAGGTCATTTAATAACAAAAGAGAGAGTAGAATTAACTTTAATGAGCAGTTAATCTTACCAAGCTTTCTTTTATAAAATAACAAAGACTGGATGACCAAATTTAGATTTAATTTTATTGTTTCCATGAAAGAGAATAATTAATTCTTCAATATAATCACCATAATTAAAAGGGGAAAAGCTCCTATTGATTAGTTGAAGTTATGTAAATATCATGAGCAGTCATGGGAAAAGGTAAAACAAAAAGTCAAGATGCGGAATCAATAATCATGTTCAGAAAATCACCAAATCGACGATCAATCTAACTGAATACAACCAACATAAAGAGGGACAAGAGGTAAAAGATAAAGTGTTATTACAGCATTTATAGTATATTTATCTTTTGCCCCCCAACATGTTTATAAATTAGGATTTGCCCTGTTACTTCACCAAAGTCTTTGCAGAAAACTTGGCAATGTAAGAGCACAGCTGGCCTCTCGATGACACCTGGCAACTGAAGCTGTCGTTACCCTGTCTAGGAACACTTCAATCTAAACGCTCCTTTCAAAGGAACAAGCAGAGGAGATCTATTCATTAAAAAGCAATAAGGTTGTACTTAAAATGACTCAGCCTTAAAATGACCCATCATACGTGTCATAGGCTCTTACTGAGCAGTGGTCCATGTTCCTTTATAATCAACATATGACAAACTCTGAAGAAATGATCAATATTTTACTTTTATAAAAACAATAGTAGAAAAATATGTGGAGTTCTAGGCCCTAGTGAAGTATCTAAAGTAAGAACAGATTGTGTACTGAGGCTTAAAAATCTATCTTAAGGGTGCCTTTTATTATATATCATCATCATCATCATTATCACCATATGCTATTATATTTAATTGCTGTCGTGGAACCTAATGTTGATCTCACAGGTCACCTAGGGTGGCACAAATTTGATAGGGTCTCAGTAAGAGAAAGAAAGTCTTCTAAGTAGTCTGATAGGCCCCTGTTTAGATATAGGGCTTATGTTCACTACAGTACCCTTAGCAGGAAACCTCAAGAATATCCGCGAGACAAATAAGAGCTGTAGAATTTAACGAATCCTTCCACAAGGAACCACAAGTCAAAAGAAGCACAAACTGGTATCTCTGTTGAAATGCCACCCTCTTCAAGAACTTTCCTGACCATCCATGTGACACAGCCCTTTCATGGCCACTCTAGTTGCTGACTGTGTTTGTTTTCATAGCGGTCATCGTTACCAGATACTGT